ATTGCTGTGGTGTGGGGGTCTTTTCAACGCCGTTCTATCTTATCCTATTTGAGTTTCTCCTGACCCTAGGTGGGCCAGACAGGGAGAATATAGTTCTCATGAAGGTGGTCTAAATGAAATTACCAACTAACAGGGGAGAACAGCTCTGATTGGACATTTCTCATCACCATCTCTGGAGTCTCAAAGAGACTTAAATGGGCCTGAAATTCATAATATCCCTCCATAGGAGGGGAATTGAGCAAGTAGTCGGGATCAGAAAAGATGAGTGAAAAGATACCTGCCTATCATGCAGGTTGAAGAGGGTGTGAACCAAGCTGACTGGGGCTTACTCCCAACACCAGTGAGGAGGATTGGGGACTAGAGAAGGTAGTCTAGTGGCACAAGGTCCTCCTACCTGGGTGTACATCACAGTCGCCAGCCTTCATCAGCTGGTGCCGACTACTCTCCTAAGAATGCTGCCTTTAGGGACTGGAGAGATGGCTCAGCAGTTAAGAACACTGACTGTTCTTCCAGAGGACCCAGGTTCAATTCCCAGCACCCACATGGCAGCTCACAACTGTCTGTAACTCTAGGATCCAGCACCCTCACACAGACATACAGGCGAAACACCAACAAAATAAAAATAAATTAATTAAAAAAAATAATGTTGCCCTTAGTCTGGTGGTGGTGTTGTACGCCTTTAATCCCTGCACTCAGGAGGCAGAGGCTGGTAGATTGCTGAGTTTGAAGCCAGCCTGGCCTAGAGAGTGAGTTCCAGGACAGCCAGGACACAGAGAAACCCTGCCTTGTGTGTGTGCGTGTGCGTGCGTGCGTGCGTGCGTGCGTGCGTGTGCGTGTGCGTGTGCGTGTGCGTGTGCGTGTGCGTGTGTGTGTGTGTGTGTGTGTGTGTGTTATTGTTGTTCCAGGGGCTGGAGGAATAACTTAGCAGTTAAGAGCACCAGCTGCAGTTACAGAAGACTCAGATTCAATTCCCAGCACCCACGTGGCTCTTCACAACCATCTGTAACTCCAGTTCCAGGGGATCCAATGGCATCTCCTGGTCTCTCCAGGAAATGCATGTGGTACACAGACATAAGTGCAGACAAAATACCCACACACATAAGAATAAAAATTTCAAATTAAAAATACAACTCTGCAGTGCCCACCCACACCAGCACCCTCTGGTGCAGACAAAATACCCACACACATAAGAATAAAAATTTCAAATTAAAAATACAACAAAGAATCTTACCCTAGCCTGGACCTCAGCAGTGGCGTGGACATCCAGAGTCCTCAGTTCTCACTGAGCTCTGCCATGGTGTGAGCTCAGCCTGCGTTTGAAGTGTGGGGACCGTGTTCAGAGCATCTCCAAGGCTGATTCAGTGAGAGAGCCCGCGCATTTCATCCCCTCTTCGGCCTGCGATGCCGTGGATCCTGAAACCTGTGTAGGGCAAAGGTCAACATGAGAACTGTGTCTCCTGCTGTCCGACTTTGCTGTCTGTTGCTGTGATAAAATGCTGACAACCAACCGGGAGAGAAAAGGATTTGTTTGGCTCACAGGCCACAGTCCACCATCGAGGGAAGCCGAGGCAGGAACCGGGAGAGGGCAGCTGAAACAGAGGCTTCGGGGGAGGAATGCCGCTTACTGGCTTGCTCAGACACCTTGAATAGCCCAGGACCATCTGCCCAGGCATAGTTCTGCCCACAATGGGCTGGGCCCTCCCATGTCAATCATCAATCAAGACAATTCCCCACAGACACACCCAGGCAAATCTGAAGGAGGCAGTCCCTTGATGGATGTTCCTTCTTCCCAGATACGTCTAGCTTTGTGTCAAGTTGACAAAAACTGTAACATCTACCAAAACCCATGCATTCAAATCCAGTCTCTAGCACTTCAGAATGTACCCACATGTGGAAACTGGGATGCTATGGATATATCCATAATTAGTTAAGATGGAGTCACTAGAGTGAGCTGGAATGCAAAATCACTACGGTTCCTATTCAAAGGAAACTTGGACACCAAGGCATATACTCAGGGTGCATGCTACGTAACAATGATGATAGATAGAGATCGGATGTAGCTGTGATGAGCCAAGAATGCTAACAGTTGCCAGCAACATTAGTGGTGTGAACAAATCGACTCCCTCAGCCCATACCAGTTTTGAACTTCGACATATATTTCTATCCTGTGAGCCCTGGCTTGTGGCCGTCTTTATGGCAAGCCCTGCACACCAAGATGCTGAGAGACTAGGCAGGAAAGGGTTTCAGTCTGTACCAAACGCTCATCCGGAGCCAACATCCAGTGCCCACCAAGCTCTGAAGACATTTACTCTGTCACCAGGAAGGGTCTGCTCCCTTGGGAGTGAAGGAGAGACAGTCTGCTCTTTCTCTTTTAAATCTCATCCCTATTTGTTTCTCAACAGAATTCCTCTGAAGTGTCTCGGACATGAGAGCAGCACGCACTTCCTCTTTAGGACACAGACGGCTCCATGTGAATTGTGGTGCAGAGGAATACCTTTGTCCTCAGCAACTTAAGACCTGGCTGCTTGGTAACTTCCCTTTTATCCCGATGGCTTTTCTAGAGAAATCTGAAAACCGTATTCACAGGACTACAGGACAAACCGCAGTCAGGAGCGTGAAGCAGAAGCTCTCTTCATGGGAATGAGGGTGCAGGATGCATCCACAGGCAGGCTTGTAGGGGGTCCCCAACCCCAACAACACACATGCTCATAACGTGAAACTTCTCCCACATGGTGGGAGT